TTACGCCAGCCCCTGCCTTCCCCCCCCATCCTCCCCCCCCATCCCCATCCTGTCCCTGCCTCTCCATCTCCATCCTGTCCCTGCTTCTCCATCTCCATCCTGCCCCTTCTCACGCCCTCCATCTCCATCCTGCCCCTCCATCCTGTCCCTGCCTCTCCATCTCCATCCTGCCCCTCCATCCTGTCCCTGCCTCTCCATCTCCATCCTGCTCCTCCATCCCTCCATCCTGTCCCTGCCTCTCTATCTCCATCCTGCCCCTTCTCCTGCCCTCCATCTCCATCCTGCCCCTGCCCCTCCGTGCAGCCCCTTTCCTGCCCCTTCTCCTGCCCCTCCATCTCCACCCTGCATCTCCACCCTGCCCTGCCCTCCATCCCGACCCCCACACTCCCCACCGCCTGTTTGTCTCCCAGGGCGCTGGGGATCCGAGTGGGAGGATGCTGGGGGGGGCGGTGCAGAGCCCCCCAGCAGGATCAGGCCCGAGCTGTGTCCCTGGCCGGGTGGTGGCCCCATCCCCAGGAGCCGAGAGGAGGCCGTGGTCTGGACCCGCAGGCACAGAGGACTGTTTGGGGTTGGGGTGCTGCTGGGCACAGGCCACGGGGCCTTTGAGCATCCACCAGAAGCCGTGAAGGTACATCCAGCCCAGCCCCTCGGCCCCAGTGCCCCACGCCGTGGCCATGAGGCTGGAGGTGCTTTCAGCTGCACTGTGGGCAGGTGGGACAGGCAGGACCGTCACCAGCCCCAGCCGAGATTTGACGTTCCCACGCACCGGCTCAGCCACGGTCCCTGCTCCATCCCTGGCCCCGGTGTGCTGGTGATGCTTCCGACATGGTGGGATCCAAGGGGTGTTTTTCTGCCCTGTTCCCCGGGGAGCCCCCCATGGGACAAGCTCCTTGGGTGCCCGAGGCCACGGTGATCGGCTTCTTCCCCAGCTCCCAGCTGCTTGCTCGCCTGGCTCTCCAGGCACTAGCCCCTGCCTGGGTGTTTGGGGACGTTCCAGGGTATTGGGACTGCTTGCTGGATCCAGACCCACTGGTGCTGTGGGGTGGGGATGCAGCAGCCATGGGAAAGGGCTGGTTCCCCCAGAGGTGCCCGGGGCAGCCACCAGTGTGGGGCTTGCCCAAGGCGCTTTGCTGTCGCCCCACTTCCAGGCCTGTGGGTCCCTGAATTGAGGTGGAGGGTGGCGGGAGCAGAGCCAGCCAGGGACAGACCTGACCCCCTCCAGTATCTGCCCAAAGTAGCCCCCTTCCCTCCCCTCCCACCCTGCTCATCGCCGTTGGCAGGGCACCTTCGGAAACCCCGTCCCACCGCAGGTTTAATGGCCACGAGGCTCTGAGATGCTCCCGCATGCACCGGGGACACCTCATGGGGCAGAGCTGATACTGCCATTCCTGTGCTGCAGTAGGGAAACTGAGGCAGGGCCTGGCGGAGGCGATGCTCAGCCTGGGGCTCAGCATCGGCAGCTCCTTGTGCCCTCTCGTTTCACACCCTGGGGCTGCATTGCTCGGGGCGGGGGGGGCACAAGCGGGGACCCTGCCCAGGCTCGTGCATCCCCCATGAGCGGGCACCGAGGTTTGGCAGCATGAGGGCAGCCATGGGGGTCTCTGAGCCTGCAGGCTATGAGCCCACAGCCATGCCACGCTCTCCCCCGGTGCCCACATCTCTCCGCTCCCCGCTGCATTGCCCAGGGTGGGAGCGGAGCAGAGGGATGGCACGGAGCGGCAGGGCACGGGGCGGCACAACACGGGGTAGGGCAGGGTGGCACGAGGTGGCAGGGCACAGTGCGGGGTGGCAGGGCACAACGCAGCGTCGCACAGGGTGGCAGGGCATGGGGCAGCGTGGCAGGCGCTGAGGTCTGTGTGTGTGAAATGGCACCTCCGTACTCAGCAGCCGCAGCAGCCGCGCGTGGGAGACCCCGATCAGTGGCTCCAGGTGCCACCGGCTCCTTGCTGGGCTGATGGCTGCCCTGCAGGGCTGCTCATGCTGTCCGGGGGCTCTGGGGGTCCCACGGGCGCCCAGCGTGCCCCCCCCCCCCCAGCACGCTGCCCGGCAGCCTCGGCCGCAGCTGCTGTGCCGGTGGCCGTGGCTCGGCCATATGGCCGCAGCGGGCGGCTGGTAAAAATAGCAAATGCTGCTGCACCCCAGGCGGGCGGCGAGTGTCATCCTGCCCCGGCCGCCGGCAAGGGCATCTCAAGGGTATGGGGGGGGCGGTGCTGGGACCCCCCAGTTGCATTAGCCTGGTTGGAGCAGGGGGGGCTGCATCTTAAAGGGGTCTGGGGGGGGCTGCCCCATTCTCCCCCCCAGCCCGGTGCCTGGGGGGGTCCATCCCAAAGCCGCCCGCTCTCAGTGTGACGCCTCCCTCTGCCCTCTCCCTTGCAGCGGCAGCAGCATCTCGGGGGCAAAATGCCGGAGCAGAGCAACGACTACCGCGTGGTGGTGTTCGGCGCCGGCGGCGTGGGCAAGAGCTCGCTGGTGCTGCGCTTCGTGAAGGGGACCTTTCGGGACACCTACATCCCCACCATCGAGGACACCTACCGCCAGGTCATCAGCTGCGACAAGAGCGTCTGCACCCTGCAGATCACCGACACCACGGGCAGCCACCAGTTCCCGGCCATGCAGCGTCTCTCCATCTCCAAGGGCCATGCCTTCATCCTGGTCTTCTCCGTCACCAGCAAGCAGTCCCTGGAGGAGCTGAAGCCCATCTACCAGCAGATCGTGCAGATCAAGGGCAG